ATTTTTTGTACAAAACAGATGGAAGAGATCGACTCTATATTAAATGACCACCGTTCAATAGGATAAGTACCGTTCTCTATAGAAAACTTTCATTAGCATGTGAGTAAATTGAATTCCATTCGATTGAATAAATGAAACACGCAATGAGCATGCAAATATGTTTGTTTAATTTATTTCCATACAACCCTAATTAGTGAATGTTTTTCGATTTAATGGAGAATTTTCTTGTTGTTACACTAATCTTTCTAACGCATCAGTTTAGTCATGGTCAGTTGATCATAGAAAATAATAATAAACAACATGCGATGAATGAAATGTATCAACACGTAAAACCACTCTCTATTAAATATTCTTTATTTTAAAATAAATTTTATTGTTATTTTTTACCAATACTGGTTGAGGATCAGAAGAAGCAGCTTCATGAAAAATAACCCGACGTTCAATATGATCAGCTTTTTCTTCAACTTTTAAATCGATTGGTTCTGATACCCATTTAATATTATCATAACATGATATCTAAATATTCGAGAAAACATTTTATCGTCAAGAAAAACGAAAAATTAAATAATTTACAGTGAAGATTAATGTGGAATGTTTGTTGCCAGATGTGAATTTTTTAAATTCACTTGGCTTTAAATCGATTATTTCGATATTCTAAAGAAATAAATATAAACATTAAATAATAAATTTAAGTTTTTCAGATAACTAAGCAATAGAAGAGTACTCATAAGCTGTAATACGATGTGTATTTGTCTCAGGAAATTATAATTTTTCCCAATCTCAGATATTCTAGACTAGCAAAAGAAACGAACACTAAAACCATAACGAATTATTTGATTAAATATAGAATATGAATTATTCAACGGGAAGTCGACCTGAAAAATGATATTTTCTATCTTTATTTTTTTCAATTCCACCATCTGAATAATTAAAATAAGATCTTTGCCTTACATCAATTGAACGTTGAATATCAATTGGTGAGAGATTAGTGAAATGAAGAACTGGATGAACATAAAGACTGAAACTAGTTTGATCGAGTTGGTCAGTTTTTTCTGAATAAGCATCAATAGATTCATCATGAACCTAAAAATTCAAATTATTAAAACTTAACGTTAATTCAAATTTACACAACAGAATGTATTTATTTTCCATTTTTTAATTTTAATCTTCCTATTGAATATTCTTTTTCCCAATCAAATGAAAATACATCATTTATTTGTTCATCAGTTTCATTCCTATAACAAAAATAAAGAATTAATTCTTTTTCTAAAACTAAAATCATTACTCATCAACATCCGTAAATATCGATGAACTTGACTGTTCGTTTATCCATTGTTGAGTTTGATTATGTTTGTCCACATCATTGATGCTAAATAAATTCCCTCTGGTCTTTGGTTTTAAATGAGTTGATTCTTCACTATCTGTATCATCATTATTATCTTGTTGTTCAAATTCTCTTTTAGCTAATTCACTATCAATGTACGATATCTGTGTTCGATCCAAAAATACTGGTATTGGTGAGGGCCAAATTGTTTGACTTGGTATAAATACCGGTATTAAAATCACATAACCGTACAGTGGTTTATAAGTATTTTTTAATAGTTTTATTTTTAATGTTTTTGTATTTGGTGGTGGTGGTAGTGAATCAATAGCTAATACATGCGTAAATAAATCATCGTTTGTTGTAAGAATTGTGTGGGTGTGGGGTGTGGGGTGTGGGACGTGGGTGGGTGGCAGTGTGGGTGCGGGTGTGGGTGTGGGAGAATAGAAGACTACACCCATACCCACACCCACACCCACACCCACACCCATACCCACACCCACACCCACACCCACACCCACACCCACACCCACACCCACACCCCACTTTGTTTTTGGTTTATTTGATAACCATTTAATTATCCTTCTGTTTTGTTCTAAAATATTGAATACAGAACCATGTCAAATGTTCAATTTTTCAGCTAACTCACGTTGTAATGAACCATAATCACCGTTATTATCACTAATTCATCAAAGTTTTTTTACTTCATGAAGAGATGTTGCGAAATCATTGCTTTCTCTGATATGCTCATCTATAGCCAACAGTGAACAGTAGTTCTAGTGCGACAGCCAGAAAGGATGAAGACGGAGAGAAAAAAGTGTACGAATATTCATTTAAAGAGTTTTTTTAAAGAAAAAATCGAGACTGAGAAACAATGCTCAAGTCATGCAAGGGTAATGCTCATTTATGGAATAGACATTTTTAGCAAAAGTCGCTTCTTAGAACTGAGAACTTCTTCAAAATGTCAGGTGTTTACTTATCGGATACATCTAGTGGTAGAAGTTTCATTTTATAAGTTTTTTTGCATTTAATTTGAGTTGTAAGCTATCATTTCCATCGTCACTTTCATATCCGTCTTCATTTAATTTAAGTTAATCTTGTATTATTATTCTTGTTTGCAATTCGTATACTCATAATAAAAAGTCTTCTATCTTCTGACAAAGTTTGACATCAAAATGGTAAAACTAAAATTTTGCCATGTCATCTAATGTGACTGTATAGCCATTCCAAGAGACACCGTACAGAAATAGAATGATTCCTTACAGTTTTATTTTATGTTCGTTGAATTTATTAGTGGTTTTAAATACTACATGGTGGTGATCATTAGCTTGAAAACCTTTCCAATATGTTAGTGAGGACAAATAATAAGATATTAAAGAGAGACAAAGGCAATTAAAACAGCAGATGCTTCTGCTGTCTACTTCGAAGTGTTTGAGAAGTTTCAAAAAGTTCTTAATGATTAAGGAATTGTCTTGCAATGAACTGAGAGAATTTTGATAGTTATGAATACAATAAAACTTGGTGAATTAGATAATGAAATAATCACTTGGTTTCTTTCGAATATAAAAAATAATAATTGGTGCCTGTTTCGACTGCAACTGAATTTTTTTACTATCTTGAATGCATTCACAACAGGAGCAGGACACGAAAGAACTGCCTATTAGAGAATAGAGAAAGAAACCAGATACAGAGACGAATACGATTCAACAGCAAAAAATGTTACTTCAATATTAATTTAGAAATCAAGATTAGTTCATTACGTAGCAAATGAATTTAACTTCCTTATGATACCAATTTTAATACGATTGATTTAGAACATCCATGCCATATGAATTCCACATAAGACTTAAATATAATTTGTAGTCTTTCGCAATTCATTGTTATGTATAGAGACTTTTTAAGATTTTCATTAATTGAATAAGTCTATGCAGAGTGTAAGCAGAGCCTTTTCAAAGTAAAAATTATAAAAATTATTATCAGGTGTCCTATTTATGACGGAATATTCACGTATTTCGATCATGTGTTCGGTATTTTTTATTTTTTATTGCCACAGTTAGATAACTGTAACAAGAAATCCAAATATTTTCATAGAAAGTATGTAAAGAAAAACGAAATCCAGTTTCTTTGTATTATATTCAGAATGAAGGTAGAAGCATCAGTCACAACATATTTTCCTAATGGTCGAAAATGCTATTACAGTTAAAATTCGACTCGTAGGTGTCTTTGCATTTTTCTTAGATTTTTATAAATACCAAACAAGTGCGAGCTATTCAGTAGAAAAATTCCATTAAACATCAATTCTCAATTAAAGTTGCACAATCTTGAAAAAATGCAAGTGCAGATTGTTTTTGTTATCGATTCGGATCTTTTAAAGAAGTTAGAAACCGGCTTTAAATACATAACCAACATTTATGTTCCACTGTGTTAGGTTATATTTTTCACTTTGCGGTCGTTATTACTAAAGCAAATATAATAGTGTAGGTTGAACCAAATCGATCAACTGCATTTATTTTTGCATCAAGCTATGCAAGAAATCAATCAAAATCTTTTGCAGAATATCTCTAGTATGATAAGCTTCGAGATTAAAACTGAGATCTTATAACAAATCTTTAATGTTTGTTGTGATATTCAGATTTTTCTCTGTTTTTCTCTCATGTTCAATCTATAGGAGCCGTCAAAATACTTAAACTTGTTATATTTTCAAACACTTTCTTAACCTGTACAAAGCTGCTTTAGTTTGTAGATTAATATCTAATAAATAATTTTTGCTTCTGATGCCTGTTGAATAAAGTATTTTCGATAAAGCTAAATACAGTTTTTGTCAGTCAATGCTAACTGCTGCTTTGTTTTTTATTGAGATATTAAATGATTTTCACAACATTCAATTTATAGATCTTAATTTATGTCGAGTTTCTTTTGTAAGTCAAGAGTGAAATTTTGTGTTTACAAAATAAAATTAGATAAACTATTTATTTTCAAAAGAGGGTGTGGGTGTGGGTGGGTGTGAGTGTGGGTGTGGG